AGACCGTGTAGCGAGGAGGAAATCAGAGATTGCGGTAAACTACTGACCCAGCTGAAGAGGAAGGCAGAGAATAGAAGAAAGTGGAGATGTGTTGTTGAAACCCTATGTTCCACTCGGAACCCAAGGGAATAGTAATAAAAATAATAAGAGTATTTCTAATTCTTTCTGAATATTTATTGAGTAATAAATAGGTTGTAGGCTGGTTCGCTGCCTATCGGAATTCTAAAGTTAATCAACATGCGTAATATATGTTATCGTGGTCTAAGTAACTACTAGCTACTGCGCCTCTCTCGACAGGACTGGACAATCAATTATTGCAATTATAAAAGAACAGATTATCGTTAAAATGCGAAAAAGTATATATTTTTTTAAATTATGTAATCAAGATTTAGGCAAAGATATAGGCAATTAACGACCACTACTCATTTTTCTAATCATAAATGAGCATTATTCTAGCTTTGTTTAATTGCTGATGGCTATCATTATAGTGGAAAAAGCCTAGAAGAAATATTGTATCCCATTTAGAATTCAATATTTTAGTGTAATTAAAATCCCAGTAGACGATAGTGTTCACTTTTGATGGTTATTTGTTCCCAGTCTCGGATGAGGACATTCCTCCCCATACTGTCATTAGTGATGAAGGTAAAGGTGAACATATTCAGCGATAATTCATGTATAAAAATGAATCCTAAAGATCCGTATGTGTTGGTAGTTCGATGTGCTAGAACGCTTGCCAATAACTCTGTCTGTCTGTCTGTTTTCGACATAGAACTTTGCACAGATGTGCGGCAGTTCAAGTCGCCACACTCCCTTCTTGTAGCACACAAAGCAAGAGAAGAAAGTAGGAGAAATGCATAATATAGACAGTAAACAGAGGTGTGAGACAAAGGAATAGTAATAACGAAAAACAAAACAGTTTCATTGGAAATCATAAGTCACAAGGAGTGGATGCATCTGCGCTAGCCATTGAGAACGATTTTGAGCCATGTCACCAATTGTTTCCAACCATTGGTTTTTACCGTCCCGAGGACCCCAACCAGGAAGTTTACACCTTCCTACGTGGCTTAGACTAACTGTTGTGGATTTCATTGACTGGTGCCATGTTTTGGTTTGACCGCCGCTAGCTCTTTTCAGCCTGATCCTATATCAGCTAACATTGCCTGTTGAGGGAGGCGATGGCTAGGCATGCGTAATACATATCCTAACCATCTCAGTCGATGTACTTTGACAGCCTCGTTGATTGATTTCCCCTCCCTCCTTACCTAGCACTCGACGCTTAAACTCAATATTGCACACCTTACTATACCACTTCACACGGGAGATAGAACACAGGCACCTATGATCAAAGACAGCTAGCTACCTTTTCATGTCCTTTACTCTCAATGGCCAGGTCTCACAGCCATAAAGGAGGACGGAGCGAACTGTTGAGCAGTACACACGCCCTTCGGTCGATAGTCGAACATCACGTCTACTAAGCGTAAACTGGCATATGTGAAACTAGCCCTCTGTATTCGTGCTGAGATTTCGTCGGAGATCAACCCGTTGGCATTGGCTGATGGTACTTCCCAAGTAAGTGAAGCGGTCAACGTGCTCTACCACTTCACTTCCTATTTCTAATCTAGGAGTCGGTGTAGTTCAATCTTGTAACATCATCTTGCATTTGGCAGGAGCGAATACCAACCACTCACGTGATCTCGACGCACTCCTTAAATCTCATCTAGTTTACTAATCTTGTTCATACTCGATGGTTGGAGGCAGTCATCAGAAGGAAGCCTTGCATGACCTAAGTTTCGTGTTTTTCGACACTCACCAGTCAGTAAGACATACCTCCAATCTTGAAGGCAACCCATGTCCCTTCTGAGATTCGAATCCGCGTCACCCAGTGCTGCAATTAGAGATGTTACCACTGAGCTATTCAGGCTACCGATTGACCTCCTGTAGGAGGCCACATCGCAAACTCGACTGATAGAATTCAGTCTGCACCAAACAAACGACTAGAAACATGACACCAATTAATTAGTGTCCAATCAAAGTTACTAGTTACTGTTTCGTCGGCCTTGTTTGGAACTCCTCAGCATTACGCACCCACCACAGGGGGTTCGAACCCAGGACTTTCCGGTTACAAGGCGAGCTAGCTCGTAGACCATTAAGCTACTGGGACCCGATCCAACGGCTAGTCCATAAATTCCAACTTCTGCCAATTCACAATATGGTGCGACTGGTACCAGCCAATGTCATTGCTGACGAGTATTTGTCCTCAGACCCAACCTGATGTACCCTACTGGTCACGACTTCTCACTAGAATCACAGGTAACTACCTAGCTGAGTAGGGCCATTCGCTAGTGAGCATGTCATTGATATTCAAGTTACTAGTCTATATAGTAAACGTGAATAATAGGAAAGGTAGCCTCATCTCGGGAAAAAAATCCCACCGCCTCTACTCGAACTCTAAAGCGTGACGCCTTATTTTCTACTCAGGATGAGAGGAGTGAGGAAAAAGATTTCTATAGGCATGTTCATTATAAAACTAATCGAACGTGGAGAGAAAGAGAAGGAGACAGGAGAAATCTTCGATAGGCATAACTGTATGAGACAGTTCACCATAAGTTATGATTCGATAACAAGTTTTGGATCACAAATTCAAAGTCTTGTCGTATACACCACATGATGTATAACTGATCACAGGGATACTGCTGCTACCTTACTTTGAAGACACAGAAGGCAGGAGTTATTCTTCTTCCAGGAGAAAGACGAACGCTGATGAAAAAAAATGGAGCTGATAATGCAAATATGTTACATTACAATTACTTTTTTATTTCCTTGAGTTCTGAGTACAATATAGGTAGTAGAGCGTGAAAGATATGTAACAGTAGTGACGCTTTTAAGCGGACAGGGTTCCTATCCTCACATCCAACCTTCCCTCTCTCCTGAGTTTACTACTAAGCAGTAAACTAGATGAGGTTTAGGAGTGTTGTGGCCGGGAAATCCAACCTGGACCCCTCAGCATGGCTGGCGAGTATTCCACCGCCGAACCCATGGATTCCCAATACCGGTGGCTACAAAATTCTAATAGAAGAAACTGCCTTTTAGTCACCTGACAGGATTTGACTGGCACGACCGTTGAACCAGGTGAAGGACTGATATTTAGTTCACAGTTTAGTTAGAAAGATTGACCAACAGCAGGTGTCTTTGTGCTGTCTGATATGCAGTCTTCAATAATAGTAATAGTAATAATAATAATAACTTTGAGCCATATCGCCAATTGTCTCAACCCTTCATTGGTTTTCACCGTCCTGAGGACCCCAACCAGGAAGCAAGTTTACACCTTCCTATGTGACTAGCTGGCTGGCTGGCTTAAACCATTGGCTAACTCTTTTTCAACCTGACTCTATGTCAGCTTACATTGGCCGTCGAGGAAGTTGGTGGCTAGGCATACGTAACACAAGTCCTTATCATCTCAGCTTCCCAGCCTTTTCGATTGATTTCCCCTACTCACACACCTAGCAGCCGATCGATGCCTGACCGCAGTATTGCTCAACCTATTATACCACCACCAAACACGGGAAAGAGAACGCAGGCGCCTACGATCAAAGACAGCTGTATGAAGCGATATGAGGGAGGAAGTGGATATCATTGTCTTTTGACAGCTAGTTTATGTTCATGAATACGAAGATGAAGAGAAAACACTAAGAATGCTAGCCAGAGAATTTTTAGAAATCAAAACAAGATTTTGAGCGAACAATTGTTTTCGATAACTTCTTCTTCAGGCTCTACAGTTATAAAACCATGAATAATACAGTACATATAGCCAATAAAGGCAAATGAAAATAATATCAGAAACTGTATTGGGCTGCATGTGTAAGTTGAGATGATAGTTCATTAGTTAACATAGCCAATCAAATGTGTATAGGGTGTATAGTCAGTCATTGTTACCCTTAATTTTGTCAACCTTTGTGATTTTATACTAAGCCTACCAATTCTGTAACATCTCATTACAATTTATAATTTAGCCTCTTTATTTTATCATTAGACATTATCGGTCAGCCCTCACATTCAGTGTCCCCTTTGTTAATGTGTGTTTGTATGTATTTTGTGGTTATCGCATTTCTCTCACCCCAATGACACTTGTATTCTGTTGACTATGAAACAGCACTATATCACCACCCAATTGTTCATTCACACTTCATCACCCAATTTTTTCTGACTATACACCCTATACACATTTGATTGATTATGTTAACTAATGGACTATCATCTCAACTTACACATGCACCCCAATACAGACAGTTTCTGATATTATTTTCATTTGCCTTTATTGGCTATATGTACTCTATTATTCATGGATTTATAACTGTAGAGCCCGAAGAAGAAGAAGAAGTTATCGAAAACAATTGTTCGCTCAAAATCTTGTTTTGATATCAGAATATGGGGATTTTTAGAAGCCTGGTATTCCAATGAATCATCAATCAATAGACACATCGAGACAGACAAAATTTACCAATCGATAATAAGAAGGAAACCTCATACACAATGGATCAAACTTCTAGTCAAGGAAACAATCAACTTCAACACCAATACAAGTAGCAGCCTACAGGGTGTGCAAACGCACAAACCAAACCAAAGAGTCACATTCAAGGTGATCACCAGGAGAGACTCGTGGAGAAGTCTAAAAAGCTCACTGAAGATGTTGCCTATTAGTAGGTCGATAATGAAAGCTTCGCCAATAAACAATCCAGCCAGCTAGCTCAGAGAACACACCTCAGCTACAAGTCTTCTCCATCATTTCCAAATCTTATAAGCGGAGAATATATATTACTTACAAATTCTTGTCAGTAACAGATGCACCACAGGGTGTCTATCGATAGCTTTTTACTAATAGTTCTTATCAATGTAGCACGCTATTACTTTACATCACGTGATCCATATATATATATATATATATCGCATTACAGCTTTACTTCATTTCGTCAGAAAGCAATTCTCATCAGCAGAACTGCCATATGTCAACCATTTCACATCATAAATTAATATCAACGGCCGGCAGTAAATCGTGTCAATCTCTTCACTTACCAAAACTCATTCCTTGTGATGCTCAACAGGCATCAGTTGCTGATGTGAAACGTACTCATATAAGCACCAACCAAAATCATCATCATCATCATAAACATCAGAGACACCACCACCGAGGACAGCGTCAAAATCCTCTTGAGAAATTCAAGAAAAAACCAAGAACTTTCGGTCTTTATCTGATCACTACTACTACTACTACAAAGACAAATCAACAGAAAAAGGCATCAAAATTACACATTAGTCTAAATTACAAGGTATTACATCATAAGTATGGCGTAGTATTTCGAAACGCTTCGTCATCATCATCCCCATCACGATCATCATCGTCGATTCACTGTCAATTATTACCGATTAATTATCTAAGAAACGACACTTCAGTGAGAGATCACTTTCCACGTGAAATTACCATGGATAGACTGCAGGCACTACTTTTGCCTAGTCCTATGCAAAAACAATCGCGGTTAACACAACTCCTGCCAAGCGCAACAGGTGAACATGCGAAATGGAAATCTATGGCATCTTCTCTGCCGAGAAAAACCGTGATGAAATCACCAGAATTACAAGCGTACAGTGATCAGTATCGATGGGACAGCAGGCGAAAGCAAGATATCATCAAGATATCATCATCATCATCGCCATCACCATTTTTATCCTCATCCCCGTTGAATGGAATTCCTTATGAAGTGAGCCGTTTAAAATTCTTTTACGATTCAGTCTATCAGTGTAATTTCCCTGCAATCAAGTACATGCTGGATCGTCAAGCAAATCTAGTGCTGAAAGCGATTGAACCGACTAGTGGATATTCTCTGCTACTCATTGCCTTATTATACATTCACTCGGCAGTGAAACGAATAAAATTGATTAGATTATTTCTGAAATATTTAAAAAAATATCTACATCATATTATGTTGAATGATGAAAATATCAGTGAGAATGGTATCTGTGAACAAGTACTTCAAGCGATTGATCCTATCCACGGACGTGACTGTATTGCTTGGTCATGTGTATTAGGCTATGCTAAAGAGTTTCGTCTACTATTTACCCACTTAGTAACTAGTGTTAATTTACAGAAACGAGATTATCATGGGGATACGTATTTACACTTGGCTTTAATAGGCGGTTCATTAGATATTGTCAATGAGATATGTCAATATGTCAGAAAGTATTCTATACCAATCGATAAATACATGAATCAGTCTGGCAGTGATCCGATTCATTTAGCTGCTGAGCTGAAATTTGATGCAGCATTAGGCATGTTAAAAAGCGATGTCAGATTGGTAAAAAAAAATAGTGATAACAGACAATGCAAGAAGACGACAGGATAAACTGACGTCATCCATTCATTATATTTCGCTGGTTCTTGTCAGTTGGCTGTATCAAAAACCAACCATAAAGAATTTTAATATAAATAAATATATGAAATATTGAAAAATGCCTTGGATGTTTTTTGATTATTGTTGTCGGAGGTTGTATTAGCCCTGTCGTCCTGTGTGGTATTTGCCGAATTCCGCCATCTCTAGCTATCCAGTGCAGCAGTTCGTTCTGTCCTCCTCATTTTTGACTGTGAGACATGGCCGGTGAAAGTGGGAGATATGAAAAGCCGGCTAGCTGTCTTTGATCATACGTGTCTCTGTTCTATCTTTCATGTCAGGTGGTATTATAGGGTGAGTAATATTGAGGAGGGGGGAATCTGAGATGGTTATGGCACGTGTTACGCATGCCTGACTAGCAATCGCCTTCCTCGACGAGCGATGTTAGCTGACCTAGAATCAGGTTGGAAAAAGATCAGGCGTGGTCAAATATCAACACATGGTCTCAACCCATGAAGTCCTTGACAGTTAGCTTTAGCCCGACAGAGAGGTATAGATTGCCTGGTTGTGGTTTTTGGGATTCCATGAACAAATCCCTGGAGACAATTAGGAAATTGTTCTCAATGGCTGGCGCAGATGCATTCACTCTCTGTGATTTGTCAAAGCCATTGAAAAGCCTATTGTTTTTCAATGTTACTATACTTTTTCCTTTACATTTCCTCTTATTATTGATCTTTCAAATCCGCTTTTTTTCCCGAGCTCTCTTGACTTCCTTTCTGTGCTTCATGGAATGTGACAACTCGAACTGCTCAACTTTTGTGTAAGCTTCTATGTTGAAATCAGTAAAAGTTGGTGGTCGTCAGTCATGTTACCTCCAATTTACATGGATGTACCAAAGTACACATATCGAACGAATAGAAAGAAGGATTTGGGGCTTCAACAACACATCTCCAATTTGTTCTATTCTCTACTATCCTCTTCAGCTCGGTCGACGAATGACCATAATCCCTCACCTCCTCCTTCTCCTCCTCCTGAAACGATTTCCTCCATGTCACCCTCTCATTGACGACACACTCGTCACTTCCCATTGAGATTCCACTTGAGCAATGGCCTGGCTAGCGCGCAATGTCACTCGACGGATTCCTCAGTAAATGCCCGACTCATCTCCACTTTCTCCTAAACATTAGTTGAACGATCGGCTCTTTGTCGGTTTGTTCCCCTGCAGAGTTTCTTGTTGCTCATTGTTTCTGGCCTTTTGATCTTCAGTATGGAGCCAGGCAGCGAAGTGGGCAGCTGTTAATGAAAGTTTGTCGGAAATGCTTTACGTGACACTCAGTGCAAGTTTATAACCCGTATAGAAGGACTGACTTGACATTGGTGTTGAAAATCCGAATCTTGTTCCTTATGCTGACTGACTGCAGAAGATTTCCAAACTGGTTTCATGTTGATGAAGGCGTATCTTGCCTTCCCGATCCTAACCTTGATATCTTCACCCGTTCCCACTGCCTTTGGTTGAAATGATGCTGGCTGCCTAGATAAGTGAAGGAAGTAACCTCTGTTAAATCACTTCCGTTGATGGTGATTGGTGCTGGTTGTTGTTGCTGCTGTGGTTCGTTGGTTATCTTCATTACCTCCGTATTTGGGGCTGCATATTCCAAGAAACTTACATTTGATGAAAAGTCATAACCAGTGGTTATGAAGTCGTCTGTACATTAAAGCTTGCAGGTTGCTAAGTTTCCCTGAAGCAATCGTCATTAAACGATTAAAACCCGAAGGAAATCGTTGTTCATCTTGTCTTCCTTACCATGGGAAATATACTTTAAACATTATTTAACTCTTATTTTTGTGATTTATCACCACCCCTCATTCTATTATGGGTAAATTTATTTTCATAAAGTCTCACAGTGTTGTTATACAGAAAGTGATATTCACTGATGACCATGTTTCGAGCACAAATTATCACTGCCATTCATAATCATATCAAGGAAGTACTTACACAACTTTCTAATTTCGTTTATTTAGTCCCATTACTTTCCATCGCTTGACTTGATTGGTAGTTGTATTTTCCATATTTCCGGTATTAATGATGAGTCATTCCTATTGCATGTGTTGGGTGTCGATTCTATGAACAAAGATTCAGTAATCAACCTCTCTCTATCTCCAACTACCTATATTACTTCGAGAACTTTGACTCTGTTCCACCCATCCTATTGTGTGGTTGTGTGTTAATGCATGCAGTACAATCGCTGAGCTTTTTTCTAAATTACTTATCTTCTCGGGGTCAACCATTCTTGCCCTACCTAAATTCTTATGTTCCGACAATCTGACTACCCCCGACCTACTAGTTTGACTTATGTAGTTGACCTCACAATCATTGCAGGGTATTTTGTAAATTATATTATTTTGTCTAATTGGGTCAACAGGGTCCTTTAACCTACAGAGCCTGTCCTACCTGAGTGAGTTTGTAGGTTTAAATGCCACCACCCTAATTCCTGCTTTACTGAGAATCCTACGTGGAGAGGGCCTCAGATGTCCCCTCCTTATATGGTATAACAATAGATGACTTATAGTCTCTCTTATTTATGTTACCATTACTAGTCTCACAATTATTTTTATTTTGCTTCTGACCTTTACTGATCTTAGAAATTAGAAAGTTGCATGAGGAGTACCTTGATATGATTATGAGTGGCAATGATAATTGGTGCTCGAGACGTTGTCATCAGTAAATATCACTGTACTGCATAACATTGAGACTTTAGCAAAATAGAAATTTTTTACCCATAATGGAGTTATACTCTACCACCACAGTGCACAAGTTCTATTCTTATATCAACTCCCAATTCTGTCTTTATATATATATTCATGACTTCTGTTCAGCTAAATTATTTGATTCTTCTATAAGTGTTTTATTGATTTTATACCTCTATTCAATTTTCGACAACCCTCTGTTATTCTAGAATATTCCTTTCAACCATTTCTATACAACCTAACAAGTTAAACAAGAACTTTAATATTATTTTCCAGTATGCTGTTGAAGTCACGTGGGTATTAATAATATCCTGCACCTTTATGCGCATCAATAATTAAAGTATACGAATATTTTGGTATATTAATGCGAAGTTGTTTATGGGTGTTTGTGTGTGGGGAGGTGTATGCGACTAAGAAGAACCGACAAAGTATACCGATGTCATTTTATCATGCTCATTGTATATTCCTTCTTTGCTTTCATATGAACTGTGATCAAGATTTGACCGGATAGTTGCAAAATAATTGAGCGCTGAATGAGAAGTAGACATTTATAAAATTATATTTGTGTAAAATCTCAGCGAAATTGAAATGATTAATTCCTGTCATATGAATCAAGAAACAGCCATCAATAGGTATAATTAACAAAACAAAAATTTTTTTACTAACTGTGGTCAAAATTTGACCTCAGACTTTCAAAATTAGTCTACTTTTCAAAAGAATAGACACTGAACAAAGAGAACTCTTTTCGATAACTTCATCATCAGGTTCTACAATTATATATACATTATAATGAATGAATGAATTAGTGTTATGAACGACTTTAATGTTTAAATAACATCAAATCAATAATATTGATAAATTACAGCTGAACAGCATCAACATCAAATAAACTGAATGTCAGAAGAATTAGGAAAGGTAATGGTACAAATTCATGAGTTTATAGTCTCTACTGAGGGCCAGGGCAGTAGTAGGGGCTGGACTTGTTTCTTTTGGACACAGAGCGCTGGTTGTTTGAGGCGAATTGCAATAGCCTCTGGTGTTTGGAGTAAGCGGTGCTTCGAGGATTTTGGTAGTTTATTGGGCACCCGGTATATTATGGAGAAGGATTCGTCTACGCTGGCTTTGTGACCGGTTTGCACCAGATGGTTTAATATCGAGCTGTTAATACTTTTAACTACACCTTTGCTTAGCCATAGTGGGATATGTTCTCGAGCACGAAAAATCAAGTTCCTAGAGCAACGGCCAACATAACTCGCTCCACAAGCGCAGTTGAATTGATAAATACAATTTGAAGTGGCCAGTCTAAGTACTTCATCTTTCAGTCGAGGTAGCACCATCGGTCTTGTGGAGAATAAGATGTGTAGTTCGCCAGCATTAAAAGTCCTTTGAACTGCTTTTCTTAATTTCTTTGTAATTAACTCACTTGGTTTATCGCCCTTGAATTGTAGTCGTATATAAAGGGGCTTCTTCTTTACAGATAGTGGGTCGTCCTTTTCGGCCTTCTTCGTCATATGTTTCTTGATAAACTTGTCAGGATAACCATTTTCAATTAAAGTATCATATACAATGTCTAATTCATCTTTAATTACTTCCTCAGAGCATATAGCTCTAACTCAGTGGCTAAGGGTCTTCACCAAATTCCTTTTGTATTTGATGGGAACGAAGCTATGAAAGTGTGTATATTGTCCCGTCCAAGTACTTTTTCTATGTAAATTTCTTTTTATGCTTCCGTCTGGTTTTCTTGTAAGTAGGACATCGAGGAAGGCAATTCTGTCTTGGGATTCCTCCTCGCATGTGAATTTCATAGCCGGATGTACTTCATTGAATTCAGTAATTATTGTAGTCCTATCGGAAGCATTATCACAAAGAATAAAGGTGTCATCCATATATCGGCAATAAAATGAGAACTTTCTGATAAGGTTGTTCAGAGGTCCATTTACTAGCTTACTTAGAAAGAAATCAGCCAGAATTGGACCTAATGGGGAGCCCATTGCCACCCCGTCCACTTGCCTGTAAAGCGTGCCGTCAAATTTGAAGTTTACATTCATGGTACATCTTAATATCAATTCTTTTAGGATTTCAGTATGGATTCCAATGTTTATCGACTGCTTGTCCACTTGTTCACATATATAATTAACTGTTTCTATTAGAGGTACATTCGTGAATAACGATGTTATGTCCAAAGATATCATGGTTTTTTCCTTGATATTAATATCTTTTATTTTGTCTACGAATTCGAATACATCTTTGACGCTATATTTCACTAT